CAGCTTGCTAGGGCTCAGTAACATCTCACCTCATCTCAACTCTTAACTAAAGAACTTAAGTCCTCACGGGACGGTTAAGAAGTCATGCCACGGGTTCTCGCGTACATGTTACATGTTGACGAGGATTTTGGATGTCGCTATTTATCAGCTAATAACGGCAATTTTTCATCACATCATTTTTCGTAATGTTTGTGCTTGCTACGTAGCTTTTATTCCAGTTTATTAGTAGTTTGATGTGTTTGTTGTTCACAACCTGGGTGAGTATGTATTCAGCCTAATGTGGTTATTTCTAACAATGCTAACCCAAGCAAGCGCAATTCACCATTTATGAAGTCAAAAATAGGTCGAACTCAGAGTTTTGACCAAAAGTGAGCTCCATAACCATTAACATATGACTCACTTCCCTGATTATGGTAGTGATGAACATGGGTGTTGGTAATTGTTTATAAAATGTAGGTTGAAACAACTATGCGCTGAACTATTTATGAATATTATATAACTTGGTAATGTACAGCCATGAACAGTTCTAACCATTATAAGTATCATCCTTTTCGACTGAAATGACATATTATTATGTAACGTATCTGAGAAAAATTATCTGAGTAACAATTGACGTTCATAGAATTTTCTACTCGCTTTATGAAGATGTACGGGAACTGTGCATAACACTACTGTAAGTGCCACATTAATCAGTCACACATTCTTCATAAACAAAGCGATGCGTGTTTGTTTTGAGTATGGTAACTAAACCATGTTGTAGTTAATACTGGTTTCTGGTGTGTCTGTTGTAGGGTTTACGAATCATTTTCTGTAAACAGAATCCTCAATCGCTGACCAAATTATAAACAAAATTCTGACGCATATTGACGAGTAATATCTAAATGGTGCTTACCACTGTTTTATTATTGTATGTAAATACTGAAATGCTAATAGTATTTTGGACGTTGTAATTGGATTTTTCTGAGACTTCATATTACTAATTGAAGTTTTTGAATCCTTTTGTTCGGTGCCTGCAGTTTATTTGTGAATACCAAATGACTAGATGAAATTCTAGAAGGGTTAGAAAATGAAGAGCACTGTTTACAACAACTGAGACACTTATAGGTACATTCTGTTAGCTGCTATTTCATTTACTTATTGAATTAGATACAGATAACGAGGTTTAATCGTTTAGTTGACGATTGATTTGTTGTTTTTCAGAATTGCATTAAGCTAAGAAGGTCTTTATATGTCTTCTGATATGTAAACTATGGCTTCTGTCAACTAATTGAAAAGCTCAAACCTTTCTAATAGTTAAGTTTATGCAGGTGAATAACTTGGCGAATTTCAGAATATGGGAGATTACATAAAGAAACAAATTACAATTTGACGATAACTGTGTTTTATACAGACTACTGCCAAGTTTATTCATCTGATGAATTATTTAGATTTATATAAAGCAAGCGTACTCACTCTTTTACATTATAAATCTCGTTATTATGTAGAATTATAATCTAATTTGGTATTAATACTAATTCGATAAAAGATCTAGTCCCAAAACGGTGAAACTTATGTATACAACGCAACATTTTGGCGAAACTTCTAAACTGAATAATTACTACAAGTTTTCTCAACGAAAAGGGTACTTATATGGCACACTTTAAGTTGGTTTTGGTTTCCACCAACAGTTATCCGTTAAGATTGTCGGTATGCCTCCTCACAAAACTACGAACAAAACGAAAATAAAGATTGCCAAAAAGTTTATTGATGCATCATTACTACTGGTAAAGAAAGAATAGCAACTGATGCAGAAAGACAAGTTTACAAGTTGTATATACACTGAGGTTGAAAACACAACGATGAGGCTTTTATATTAAACAGTAAATGCCACGTCTCCACACTTAGTTATATTCCGAACCGTATCTTTTATCGTAAAGTATAGTGCACAAAGATAAGTGTTTGAGAAACTGCAGTCTTACTTAGTAATTGATGATACTGAAGTAAAATTTGTGGACTTTCCTCCCCACCATTATCACAAAGTGTTCACCATATTTCTCAATAATCTGTTGTTTATGCATCTTATGGCTTCGCTGGATCCTTATGTACTGTTCGCTCTGTCTGGGTAATTATATTGTCGTGTAATTATGGAAGTTATGTGTATTATCGATCATTCATCATCTGCATTGTCTAAGAATATGATGAGTTGTACAGTTTATGTTTCGTAACTGATTAAGCGTACTTGTAAGAGTTCGTCTTCATACGTATGCCAGTAGTATATGACGGCAGGGATATCGGCATTTTATAAATGACATTTGCACTCGCAAGTGCTTGCATCCACTTCATAATGCTTGCAACAGTCAATCATGAACAAACAGTCATCATTTTCGTATTCAACATAAAGGAAACGCATCTTTTCCAACAAAGCCTTTAACCGCGCAAACGGAGTCAGTGGGTTAGTCAACGGATGTAGTCGTCACGGGGCATCGTGCTTATAGCATCTACCGGTTATTATCGTTTCTTCAGCAGTTTTCCATATCCACTCTCTGAATACTCTCTCAGTTCACCGTTTGGCCGAAATTTATCAAATACTTGCAGTTGCGTGTAACAACCTGAAATATACTTCTATACACTTACCCGTGATGAGTTGAGGTTTTATAGTCTTCGCATCAGCAGCAGTGACCTGCTTACAAGTTCGACCCCCAATACTTTCTACTAACTCATCAGTTTATATTGATTGCATTATCACCAGCTTCAAACTTTCTTTTTCACATGAGGATCACAAACCGTCCATGAACTACTACAAGGATGATTGTGAAGCATGTTGTATGATATTATGATATTCCTCACCGTCCAATTTTACACGGAACCTTCATTGGCAGTTTAGAAACGTAGACCTTAAACGTCATATGTCAGTTGAAGTTCCTACGGGTTTGATTCATTGTTAGACCTTTTGGCTTATGTCTATGACCAAATGTGCGATGATACACTGCGAACATGTATTTAAATCTCATGTCCTTCACCACTTTACTTTCACTTTGAATGTAATTAGTATGGGTAGTCTGAGAAGGGATAGAATTATTCTTCCACACTTTTTGGTATTCCTTTACAACACTATCAAATTCAATCCACCTTCTGAAACGCCTGTTCACTAATATACATTGAAATGCCTCACTTAACTTGATTGAAATGTCTCTTGAATATGAATGATGATTTGGCTAGGGCTCAGTGACATTTCACTGGCCCTACACACTGCAAGCAGCACTTATTAATTATTAAAAATAGTTATTCCTTGCAATAATACTTTAATAACTGAAGAAAGTACTACACACGTTGAAGACGTACGGGTCACTTGACATTTCGTCTTAAACCTTGCGTAAAATATCGATTCACGCAAACTTCGTGTATATATAACTTTTGAGTTATTCTCAATGCGCTGCTCTATGGACCGCACCATATTTTAAACAAGGATAGTGAGATTCAGTGGAAAAATTGCTATCGCAGGTCAAGATACGAGACAGAATTTTCAGAAGACTGCTGAAAATAAATCAATCTTTGACTGGTTTAAAGCTGAACGGGCGGCTTGAATATAGTTGGAGATTCGTAACAACAGAGTTATATGTTTAATATAGTTGTGAATTCCAGTAGAAGCAAATAAAATTCATTGATATGGGACTTTTGTATGAAGTGTTTACGAGCTTTGAGAACATCAAATGAGACAACTTTGGTTACTTGAGAGCAATATTTCTAGTGACTGTTACGTTTTTGAAGTGTGCTATGTTTTCAGCTCAACAGAGTTTGCCTCAATAAATTAGAGCCGAAGAACTATGTGAGGCTAATTTCAGGGTGGTCGCATCGGACGATTTACAAAAATTAAAATTAAAGAAATGGGAACTAGAAGATCACAGAAATTTCATGTTTCATTCAATTGATGAAAATGAAAGTAAGATATTTGACACATACAATAAGTGAATAAAATACTCACTACGACCTTTCTGGATGTCGTTGAAAATAGTAATCCCAAGTAAACAAATTGGAAGAGGTTTACTGTCCACCAATAGTGACCATCATCTTCAAAACGTATTGAGTACGAACTTAGATACCTCATATTACGCTTTTAGATTTTACCCCAAAGGTTAGAAAAACTGAATTTAAGACTTTGCACGTCATTTAAGTAATGCAAACTGATTTCTCAAAGTCACCCAGTTCAAAGAAAATTGGATGCCTATACTAATATGTATTTTGTTAACGACAGATTCTTATAATAAACTTGTATTTCCAACAATCAGTCAGAATGTCTAACACTTGTACATTGAAAGTTATCAAAATAAATCTAGATCCATGTGATAATTATTCATGGTGCTCACTAAGTAAAGCAGTGTCTGGGTAATAAAATGTTATGCTGCGGCCCAATAAAGCTCATCAGTGTTGAAGATCATGTTCTTCATATCATCACATATACTTTTAATACACCAAATATATTTCCTCGGCAGCAAAGTAAAAATTCGAATTTCGTCGTATTTGGTCGGCCATTTTTGTTTTTTCAGTCTTATGGTGGGTTGGTGTTGCATAAGTGTCTCTTACAGACGTGTTTCCTTTATTTATAACGTATTTTTATCGGTTTTCGCCGCACTTACTGCTTATATCCTTGAAGGCTATGCCCTTCAGAAGACCTTCGAAGGTCATTTTGGAAGGTCGCTTGGGTTGACGTCCTTGCGGCTGATAGCTATGTCAAAATTCCTGTTTTTACGATTGTATATGTCAACTAAATAGCATCTACTTATTTTCCCCCATTCAATGAAGGGTCTTATGTAACTTTCTGTTCCTAGTTAAATGAAGGAATGGCAGCGTCTGAAGTCACGAGTCCAACAGACATCCAAGATGATTTAAAGAATGAAAGTTTGGAGGCTACTGTATCTCTGGATAAACTCATAATGGGAGGTGCACCAAAGTCATCAGGATCAGTGTCTACTGGTGATGATCATGTTCCTGCCACAACTTACGTTACAATCCATCTCCCGGACGGAACCCAAGGATCAACTCTGAGTCAACAAAAATTGCAGGAACTTATCATGCACTTGTCCCAGTCTGGTCAGATTCAACTACGAGAAGATAGCAAGATTGTGATAGATGTAAGTCAGCTCATCATGATGAGCTATTACTGCTAGTTACTGCCGTAATTTCTGTATTCCTCTTCGGTCATTCACTTAAACTTGTAGTGACTTCCTAATAACACTATTATCTGTTGTTATACGTAGTCATTATGCATCTGAATATGACTGCGAGCCCTATTTGCGTAGTCTTTCTACCTGCCTGTGATCATTTTTGGTATAATTTAAAATTTTAAAGCCATAGCCTGCTATGTTATTTTTCTTCATGAACTCTAGTCGTATTACCCGCTGACATTCTTGGCTCCCGTAAGTTGGTAAGTTATGCTAGACCTTACAGAACCTTAAATCCAACGTTTTTCAGAGTTTTCACATATAGTTTATGACGATTTGTAATTGAAACAGATACTATTGTTAGATACTAGAACAGACTCAGATCTGCACCAAACGGCTAGGTTATTCATGGTTTTACTCAAGCTAAGTTCCCCAGTACGTCATTGCCTTTGGCTTGGAGCAGTAAAGTATTGTTAAGACGAGCTATCAAGTGACGAAAGGTCACCATTAAGACATCTTACTTATTTGGTTAACTGACCACGAAATATGGTTCAGTCAGACTCTGAAACGAATGAATCATTACTGCGTCTTTAATATAATGATATTTAGAGCACGTCAGTGACTGAACTAGCAATATTTGGTGTACTTTGTAAGAGTAGGTGAAGCAAAATGGACGTCTGTGTACTGACCCCAACTCTCACGATCAAAACATATAATTTGGTTATCAGAATTTCGGAAGTGATCAAATTTCCTTCGTATTAAGTATCGCTCAACTTAAGTTGGAAGTCATTTATTGGTAACGTTGACAGCTCCTGTGATGCTTGTTAAAGCATGATATTTTGTAATGCATCCTGGAATTAAGTTACTGAGTTATTTGTGTTTATAAAATAGTTGAAGCAATGAATATGTGAGGATCTGTACTGAATAATGAAAATTGACTATTCGATGAATGACTGTAAAGTGTTGATCTTACTGTTTACTTTTTCCTACTTGGTCTTGTCGTAATTAACTTAACGATGTTTTCTAATGACTTTATTCCCGGCGAATCCAGCTTAAATTCAGCGGTAAGTCGGGTGACCATGGGGTTCAAACAAAATTGGAAAATTCTTCGCTCCAACACTCTGCCGTATCTAGTGGTACGGCATCCCAAATACAAACCATAGCTTCCAGCATCCCTCATCGTGTTTTACAGGTTGGCAGCGTAAGTTTGATAACAAAATAGTTTAAGTGTTAGCTATAATTTTGCCAAAGTTTAGTACTTGTTTGTTTAATCTATGGTTAAATAATCACAATACTCGTGTAACATATTTCAGAGTTATCTGTACTTATTAGTAGTAAACGCCACTTTTGTGGCAAAATTAGTGGAACAACTTCAATGGTGTTTGATCTACTCATCTTAAACTTTTATAAAACGTTTTTAAATATCTGCTAGTAGGATAAACTTCTCTTTTTTGTGCGCACCATAATCATATTTGTAGCAGTATGACTAGCGTCATAAATGTGTCTAATTATCAACTTGAAGTGTATGTTATATTTTCATTGTGTAACTAGGTACACGGTTTGCAGTTAGGTGATAAGATCTTTCTCTTTAATGTTAGAATTTGCTTGCTTTCCGTATCGTCTACATAATAATATAGATCCCGCTGTGCTGTAAAGTTAGTTGCAAAGACCGAACGAATGTTCGGACTTTAATTGCGAGCCTCCTTTGACCGATCAGTCTTCATATGTTACATAAGTTTCTCCAGGCACCATCATGATATTTACAGTAAACATTGGCCCACTTATTTTCGAGATTGGGATGTTTTCTGGCTAAACAGTGGTTATTCTACAGTTTTTGAATTGAGATCTTAAAACTATATGGCTTTTCAGGTGGGAAGATAGTTATTTCCCCATCAGTACGAATATCGTTACTTTCATCTATTCTTGTCAATTTCCCCAGTGTATTCATATAGAGCGTAGCATGTTGGAATGATACACCCTAAAGTCGGATTTCAAGTTTTTCTCTGTCTTTGATCAATCAAATTGTAGTAGCCATTATCTGTCCCTTTAGATCAGTCCGGTTCTCTAGTTCGTGTTTTTTTTTAATCCTAAACTTCACTATCTTTTCCATCTATTAATTTCTTTCTTACGTACCTTCATGGCTGATGTTGTTTGATAAATAAGAGTATTCTATCTTCGACTAACATGTAATTATCCTATTTCCAGTGTGGAATGGACTGTTGATCGTCATCAGTTAGTCGTTCTAACTGCATATCCCCACACCGAGTGTTACTTATTAGAATAACCGAGATATCAGGTGAAAAAAAAGAACGTCAGCATATTTGTCTTTATTGTCCTTTATCCCAATGAATAAGAAAAAGCAGGGATTCTTGTGTGATAAACAAAACGTCTGAGGTAGTAATGAGTTAGTAGAAAGTTAGGGGTGGACAGTCCAAAACGTGACGTTAGTCCATGAAACTTTTGATTGTTGTGTTGATCCATCTAAGTAGGTTCAGACTTCCTATTTGGGTCGGGTGCGATTATCGTAACCAATAACTAGAGACTATATGTAACGTCTCATAACTGGTCACAATGGTACAGATCCATTCACTTTTTGCTGCTCTCTATATCTTGAGTTTTAAAATCATTTACTCTCTATTCCATGGGTAATGTCTTCGTTTCGGTCAGATTTTCTGTGCCTTATTTTTAACGACATATAGTACCACTATTTCTGCTACTTTGGTATCAATCTTTTTGACTTTACCTCATTGTATTGATGTATTTTGGCGACCTAAAACCGATTTATGTGTCAAATCCTACTTTACTTGTAACTGACTAACTTGTGATGATCGTAGAAACACCAGTTTGGCTAACATTTTCCAACAGATCCTATGCCTTCTACAGAACTCGGATTTTAACCAAACCGCCAAATTCTCTCCGTAATCTAAAGACACCATTTCACTCATTTAGTCAAAAAGCCCAATGGACGTTTTTGACTTTAAAGCGATGGCCAAAGAAAGTTATTGCACTAATCAGGGCACTCTATCCAAACTTGTAGTGATGTATCACCAATTTAGCATCATTAGATTTCATCAAGGATATACACTGTTACTATCCTTGGTCATATTTATCAAAACCTTACCCATAGAAACAGTTATGTTTGCTCCAGACTTTTCAAAGACTGATTTCTAGTTGGGAAACCAACTAGCCGATCTTAAAAATACAAGCGACACAGTCTTAATAAGCGAAAGCCTGAAAACAATTTAGAATCCTCTGAATTCTCGGGAAAAAACCAAAAAGATGTTGGATACGCCCTTTGAACTCGTCTAATGTGAGTTGATCTTCTAAAACTGATCTGGAGCAACGACTACTATTTGAGTTTGTGAATCACTTTAACTCCCAAACACTGGATAGAAGAAAGCAAAAGTAAACAAGAACACAAAATATACTATTATACAGTTATAGAGCATTCAATAGTAGATAACTGTATGAAAACATAAATGGATGGTAATCTTATATCAGAATATTGTTGGCGCTGCCGAATAGCCGATATTTTTGATCAATATTGATATTCTCTGTAAGATCCCAAAATTCACTCAGCACTAAGGACTAGAAAACATGAAAGGTGCTATTCAGTAACCTAATGGTATAAATGGTTCAAGTTTTTGGGAGATCAATGACCTGGATGAATTGATGATAAATTATCAGTCAATCAGTCATTCACAGTGTTAAAATTTAGCACGTTTAGGCATCAGTTTAAATCGCCACGTCATATCTTCACGACAAGATGAAATTATCCAAATAAATCTCCGTAGTAATAATAGCCGTATCAATGCGTTATGTCTAAAGGAATATTTACAAAGTCTCCAGTAGTTTTCATGTAAACAGCCTGTACAAAGTTTGTACACTTCGGTGCAAGTTTCTCTGGTAAAATGTCATAAGCTGTCGAGTGCTGGCGGGAGGTCAAAAATAACACCACAGTCGGACGTCGGTAGGCACGTCTATGTTCTAAAACATGACGAAAGGTGAATACTTGATCTACATACGTCCAAATTTAACACCGGCCTAGTTTTCTCTGGTTTGCACTTCATGCTAATATCTGTGACTGCAGCACTGGGTAAGGGATACTTGAGTATTTCTAAGAACATCCGTTTCATCAACCTAGCAGATATTACTTACCGTTGAATCCTAACCAGAGTTTTCTGTCGATCTCGTGGTTATCTAGCACAAAGTACTCCGCGCTAGTTACCCTACTAATTACATCACATTTGGATCTGTAAAATTCGGTGAGACAATAAGACAACGTGATATTAGTTATTGTAAACTATTTGTCGATTTATCGCACAGCAATCAGATTGGATTTTCATGAAATTATATCACAGTTTGGTAATCTCTTTGTTATTGACAAAGGGCACTTTTAATTTTCAGAGACCTGTCTCATCTAGTTTTGACTTGTATATTCGCATTTAAACTAACTTTTCATCACTTCTGTATTATATGAGCTAAGGTATCGCGAGACTTCGGAATTTACCTCCATAAGTTAAGAGCGTACGTCATTTCACAACGGATTTTCGTTAAATATTTTGATTTTATATGTAGAAACTTATAATTCGAAACGAGAAGCTAGCTTTACATGAATTATATGCTTCTTTTTAGAATATCATTATTAAGCAAATTTCAAAATCTTGACTGCTTTAAACTGGTGTAATAATGTATATTTTTTAGTAATGCTAATTCGTTCAATTGTTGTATATTATTTCTGACTGCCTGCTAAATTATCGTCTCTGAGTATAGTATAGTCAGAAGATACATTTCATTTCCCAATATCATCTGAATGATTGGTATGCTAGACAATAAAACTACAGTGTTATTATTTCTGTCGGATAGTTCAAAATTAAATTCTCTATTTTAGACGGTGTTCCGGAACTACAATTTAGTCATATCAAGTTTTCAGAATACCGCATAAATAATGTCAATTAGTTGTCATCATTTCACATACCTTTTTGCTCAATAACCGAAGTATAATATTACTATATATGTCGCCTTGTACTTTACCTTCTTTTCTAGTCAAGTTCCGATGGAGTTCAAATTGTACGCACTATACCTTCTTTTGTTAGTTCTACCACTCAAATAATTTCATTTCCAACCGTTGCAACACAACAACCAGTCGCAGCCCAGTCAAGCAATCCTAGACAACAAATTCAGCAACAACCTACTTACATTCTAGTCCCAGCAGCTCAGCTAGCAGGTGGTGGAGAAAATCAGGTGTTTGCAAGCACACCTATACGTGCTGTTACAGCAGGTAGGCGAAAATTAATTCTAAATTGATTCGCATTCCCATATATTATGTTTGCACGAGATGCCTGTTTTTTAATTTCGAGCATAATTATTCAAACATTACTTTCATTAGATACAACACTTACCTATTTCCACCAAATCTGTAATTATTCTTTTGCTACCGAATACTTGAATTAAATACCTCTTACTATTAGTACTCCTTCTGAATGGAGCATCGTTTAGTTTCTATAATTACATTTGAAGGCTTTTTGTACCATTGACTAGTATGAAATCATTTCATTGTGTTCAACTGAGATATGTTTTGTTTTGCTTGTTGTCCTGGATTAATACATTGTATTATCGTGATAGTTTTTTTAAATTTTTTGGTTGCATTAGCTAGTAGTTTACCAGTGGAATTTAAGATGCTCATTTCCTTCTATCTGAAAAATCAGTTCCATATACCTCAAATATTAGTGTTATAACTTGTGAACCTGTGTGCCCTGTTTATTGTATAACTCAATGATACCACCAATCAGAGATCAGCGAATTATCGATCGAACCGGTGACGCATAAAACACGTGCGCGCAGCCTTAGAGTCCTTATTGGTCCTGCTTTCCGCCTAGCCCAGCCATTTGAATCCAGAACACCAATCTCAGCCTCTGGAATATGAATCATTTATTTCAAGCATACTGGGTTTATATATCAACCAGACAGACCACAACGTACCATAAAATATGAAACAATTGTACAAGAATTAACCAAATGTGACTGTGAATGAGGGAAGTAGTAATTAATAAACAAGGCATAATTCAAGAATGGTAGATCGTATAATAATAGTTCATAGGTAAAAAGAGCTCATAATGAGAGGGACATGTATATAACAGTTTAGTTATTTGACAATTATACGATAAAAATATACTCATAGTATTGGTCCATAAATAGATCCCAAAAATTACCATTCATTATTCTTATCGGGATATAACAGTTAGTTTCCTCACTGAGAATCGAACTTAGAATTCTCACTACCAGAGGTTACTATAATGATTGGATTAAATTGTATTTGAGTTATGTCTTAATTGAAGTCTGTAAAGTTCCAAGTCTAGGTTTGCTCCGATGGATGTGAATGTTTTCCTAATTTGACCAGATGGTTCATCATGAAGTATCGCCTATCGAAGTAACCTCCATGATGTCTCAGATATTTACATCTGTTATTGGTAATACACACAGAAATTTTACCAATATAATTTCATGCAGTTGGTTCCTTTTATGAATTTACATAAATTCAAAACAACAATGGAGGTATAATAACAAATTCATTTTATTTTTTAGTTCCTCAGTCGCTTACAACTGTATTCGTATTAAAATACAACATTGAGATATATGAAGTTGTAAACATTAGTGACGGAGAGAATTGAAATAATAACGATTGTTAGTAATATATATATATATATATATATATATATATATATATATATATATATATATATATATATATATATATATATATAATCATAGGTGAGGTCATTTTAAGACGAAATTCAGGAACATAAAAGTGAGGTAGTAATTTCACTTAGTCCGAAAACTGGTAAAATGAATTGTGTAATAATTGGAGAATTTATGGAAGTTTAAAATCGTCTGAAAGCAGGTGTAGAAAAAATAAAGCGATGAATAGCTGATGATGTGGGATTCGAAATCGCTAAGTTGAGTTACGTTATAAGTTGCTTCACTGTGAATCAGTCATTAACTTTAAATAACAAGAATTAAATCAATAACTACATTTTCTGTTTCTAGGACACACAATGCTTCGTACTTCTGGAATAGGTATTAATAATAATCAAACTGTTAACACAAGCAGTGTTAATTTAGGTTCAACCGATCGAAGTATTATTCTAGTACAACAACCAGTTGCTGGAACTAGTATTCACGTTGGTTCTACAGGTACAATCGTTCCTGGTTCAAGTAGTGGTAGTGGTACCACTTTAGTTCCTTTACGACAATTAGGCGTATCTGCTTGTGGCGGCAATGGATTGGTGTCTAGTTCAGGTTCTACTCGTCTTATTGGATCAAATGTTGGTATTGAGTTGTTTTCGAGTACAGTTGGATCACGATCGTCCCAAGGTCAGGGAGGTTCAATGGGATTGGTAACAATTTCAGCGAATGCAGGTGTATCTGGGTCTTCATCCTCCGGAACTCCTCAGGTATCGGTGTTTTTGTTAACTAAATTAGCTAACAATAGGTTATTATTCTTCTGACTTTGGGATTTTATCCTTCATACATTTTATTTCACAAGCCTGTTTACTGTAATTAATATTGCTTCCATACCATTAGTTTTTGGCTTGTTAGATTTAAAGATTGATGCTTAGCACATGAGCAGTTTACATTTTTGTCTCTTAACTGATTAGTGTTAATCTCATTTACAGAGAAAAGGATTTCTATTACATTTTCATAAAAAGTCAGACGCGCATTCGATCTAGGTGATATTATCTTGGTTATGTTCTCACTTAAACCATATCCTTTTATAATTTTCTTCATTCTGTTTCTTCACAATATCGTCATTTTACTTTGTGTAGCGTACGCGTTGAAGCTGTGTTGTATCAAGCTTTTTGTGTGTTATAGAATAAATAATATCTATAAAAATTATATCGCCTCAAATTCTAATCTGTATTGAACAATTCAATCGTTTTACATCCATTACTGATTATCGCTAATTCAAACACGAGTTTTGTATAAGTTGCACATTGGTCTCCATAATATTCAGTTTTATTCTGCACAGTGTGGTCAGTTCTTGTTTTCACAAAATACCTTTTTTATTATACATGAACCTTCTCTCCTTTCAACATTCTCTTCTGGTTAATGTTTTCAGCGTGAGTCAACTTGGCAGCAATATGTCAAACAGTTCACGAAACTGGGTCCCTGTCCAATCTGTGGGGATAAAATCTCTGGTTATCATTATGGGATATTTTGTTGTGAATCCTGCAAAGGCTTCTTCAAACGGACTGTTCAGAATGCTAAAAGATATGCCTGTCATCGCCCTAATGCTTCTTCTCGATGTGAAATAAATGTAGCTTCACGCAAGAAATGTCCAGCTTGTCGCTTTCTAAAATGTGTAGATAAAGGAATGCGTATTGAAGGTAGGTAATCTTGGTCTGTGAACTATGTAGGTCTAAAGTAGATTAAGATTGTCTAATTACCATACAATATATCTTTGCCAGAGCATTTTACTACTAATCGTTTTTGGTTTTTACCATAATATCTATTTATGGCACGTACATTAACTGATCTAATTTCATAGACCCTTTATAAACCATACTTACTTCATCTAACGTTTCAGCGATGGATCTTTCTGATGACCTATCTATCGACATAGTTGTATTTGTTGAGGACGCTGGCAAAATGTAGTATCTATTGAATGCCTTGCATGGGTTATAGCCTCAATGTAAAATGTTGCTCGACGACTGTTCAGCCTCAACATGTAAATTAATAGTAAGAGATGAATTATTTGAACGCATCACTCTGGTAAGATTGTGAATCTTGATCAACTGAGTTGGTTAAGAAATGTATTACTTGCTCCCAAAAACTTATGACGCTCGGTGTTGGCTGGTGTAGTAGGTGTAAGTCGACAGAAAGCTAGGGGCAGTCAAAGCAAAATGTTGATTCAATCCATGAAGTCACTGACTGTTGATCTGAGTCATTTTAGTGGATGAATCTACCTAGTTAGGGTCTGCGAGATAGTCTCGACTAGTGGTTGGAGCCGTTTTGTGAAATGGCTCAGAATCGGTCGTAGTGACGCAAATTCAATCATTATATTCAGTTCTGGTATTCTTTCGTGTAAACTTTTTCATTCTCAAGCTATAATGTGATTGTTTGACCTTCCTTATCAACTTTGGTATCATGACTATTCCGACTGCTCCACAATTAATCTAGCTCATGTCGTTTTGTCCAACTGTTGTATACAGCTTGGTAAAACGCATACTTTTTCCCGGTCCTATGATGATTAGAGCTGACTACTTGATATATTACCAGTCAATATGTTCTGTAAGGTTAATCTTTTCTCTCGAGAGTCTTTGGTTCGATACTCGCAATGTAATGCAGATAGGGCTATTGTACAATGTAGCCCTCATTTAATAAGCAAACATATCTTTCCTATTTCTAAAGATGTCGATAGTTGGAAATGTTGAACGAGCTTTAATTATCCATACCAAACTTTATGTAGTTACTGAATGGTTATGACAAATATAATTCTATAAATCATGTTAGTGATCACTGAAATTTCCATCCTTTGTTACAGATTGGAGCGTTTAGTGAACTAGGTTTAAATAAGTTTAACTCCCAAACTATAACTAAGAATTCGGTTTAGTTGATAATCATAGACTACCCCTCTCAAACACTTCAACAGTTAACTTATTGGAGCTGCCTACTCTATAGACCTGGATTTGATACTATAGTTTTCAACATCGTATATGAATAGATAACTGCAGGGTAGTTGGAAGTCAGTCTAGCTGCTCTTCAAAACCCTCCACCAATCGCCCTAGTAGCCTAGTCTGAATGTTACACAAAAAGCTTACCTTTCAAAACTTAGTTCAAATATTTATTAATTCAAATGAAGGTATAAAGGTTTTGTATCTTTCTTGCTTTCTACCAAATTTTGTCAACCAACTTATTGTGACAAACTAAGTATCATACCAAACTACTTCAGTATAAAGACTCCCGTTCTACTTTCAAGTCCTTAGCTAGTTCTTCCCTGAATGTACTCTTGACTTAATAATTTTTTAGATAAACTCAAGTCTTCCTGTAACGCAAATACATTCGTGCTCACAAGAAAACATTATCAAAGTCCAAAATATATTCTGATGTGAGCGACAATTCTTTATTGATTCGATACGACGATATCTGTATGACCTACGTCCACTTATTAATAAATGTTAAAAGTCACTAGATCAGTGTTTGTCTCTTTCCAAATTTGGTACTCCCTATAAATAAATGGTTGATAATTAGTAAGGTGAACTGAAGTGATGTTAACAGTGTGCGGGTAATTAGTGCTTCCTGGCTAACCGCATTACAGAATGATCTTTTCTCTTGATAAGCCTGGAAAAGGAACTGGATTAGTGTTCATAGTCTCATCATCTTAGAGGCGTGACAGGGCAGTTCAATATATAGCTGTTTGAATTCTCTCAAATACAATCTTTTTCAGAATATTTAATGTCCGTTAGTGTTCACCTTATAGATTTTAACCTTTACTCTGGGCATCGGAAATTAATAGATCAATATCCTACTTTCTTTGATTCAACTTTTTCTGAGACAACGAAACTACTAGACGTACTTGTTGGCTGTGATAGACGCCTTACTACTATCAAATCTACTGTACAGTCATTATTGAGGCACCATCACGAGACCTAAAATTTACTGGTTTTGTTCATATCACTTACCAACTAACTTATTCTAGTCAATATAGCTCAACTGAACTATCAAAACCACTGCGTCAAGGTAACAGCTACAATTGAATTTCGACTCAAACTATTCCTTATACCAAATGTTCTAAGTTTTTTATCCAAGATGTTCAGGAGTTTCTAATCTAATTTTCCTACATGTAAAATAGTAAAGTATTTGCTTATTTTCGGTGTATCTAAAGATATTAACATTCAGTATGCTAGATAACCTCTTGCTCTGTAAATCATGAATTCCTCGCATAGCTATTCGTTCGGATCGTACACGTGGTGGACGTAGCATGTATCCTGGTTCACGTTATCTGCGTCAGATTGCAGCACGGGTTAGTGGGACTCACTCTGCTCCTGGTCTGGGCCTCTCTAATTCAGCTATGGAATTTTCAACTTCAGATCTCGATGGGAGTATGCTACGTGGATTGACGGACCAAAGTATTATTTCAGATGATGCGGATCAACTTTCTTGCTCTGTTGTCGGACTTGCTGCGCATACTTTAGGCCCTGATGGTTTGCCAGCTTCAGAAGACGCGGGTGGTGGTGTTTATCTGGATCCTGGTGTTCTCGGTACTCATGATAATGATGATGAAGAAATAGATTCCGGTAGTCTGCGTGTTGAACCAAACATTTTAGAATGTGGAAGTGGAATTGTTGGTGGTACTAATTTCTCAACAAATGTTTCGCCGTATTTAGGTAGACAGGTAATTATCGGTGGTTCAAACGAGTCGATTCCACGTACCAGAGAACAACTCCCAAAGGTAGGTTTCTGTTCTGCCTTTATATGCTATTTGTTCTATTACTTGGAGACAATCACATTATTTTGTTGTATCTGAGTTGGGCTAATCGTCATTTGTTGTTGCATTGTGTCACTAGCTCTATCACAATTTCATACCATTAGTTTTCTCATAGATATCTTTTGTGTGAATTCCTGCGTTGATGCTGTTAGCCACATAGTTAAGTGATTTAGGGTACCTGACTCTCAGGCCTTGAAACTGGGCTCCCTCGAGATCTCAGGTATTGCTTGCTGACGAATATTAGCTAGCACGAAACTTAGGTCCAGGGTTCTCTATCGGCTCCTTCCAACCACCTAACAAAGCCATCATTAGTATCATTTTTTCAGCCAAAAATCCTCTCTTCAAAGTGTAAAATAGATCATATTGTACAATAATGAAGATGCTAATAAAAATAATATGTTAGGGGAATAACAGATAATTATTAAGATGTTTGTTTCTGTTACCACGGGTTGCTCCAGAAGACCATAATTTCTATTATAAGTGACTCATTTTATATTTCCTATGTACCCTAGATTATTCGGGATATCCTCCTTGTAGAGGAGACCATAGAAGCGGAACCCGAAGATGCACTAGAAATCGATGCTGCGGTTGCATCAGAAACTTCAGCACCTGAAGGGGTTTCAGATGACGAGGCAGCTGTGTACCGCGCACTGTTGAATTTGGCAGACCAACGTTTATATCGAACAGTACGTTGGTCTCGAGCACTTCCAGACTTTTCTATACTCGACACAGATGATCAAATACTTTTAATTCAAAATTGTTGGGCAGACTTACTGTGTCTTGATTGTTGCTGGCGCTCTTTGCCCACTCCTTCGGTAAGTATTTAAATTTCTCTGTGTGCGTATATCGTCAATCATTGATTGTATGTCTTGTGATACCACTGAAAATCCCATTCGATTGACTGGTTATTTGGCTTTTGTAGCATTACACTTCAGTAATGCAGTCATAATACATATGTAAGGTAACATAAACAGAGTTATTACCTGGTGAGTTCTCAGGTTAAATAGTTCAATTCATTTTATAGTATACTAAAAATGATAACTATTTTCGTGAAGTGGTTTTACCAGATGTTTGTTTGGTGTAATACATCTTGAATTAAAACAGGCTTCAGTATGTTACATTTGATCTATCAGAAGATATTCACCAAACACAACTTACTTGACTAGAGGGCTTAAACATCTCGGTACAATTTTTAAATAATTACTTGTGTTATGTATGTTGTATGTGCTCATTTTTTCACTGTCTTTTGGTTTGTTTAAAATATTTTCTTTCTCTTGTTGGTTTTCCTTTAAAACAATTGAACTGTTTTGAAGCGACTTAATTTTCCGGGCTCGATAAATTTTTGGACAAATTAGCAAAATTATTCTAATCCCAACGGTTAGCAATCGGTTTTGAGTACTCGATTCTATATTATGATTTCAAAAGGAAAAAAAACACTTCAATAGTTTAGATGATCAGCCATTTAACACACATTTTCGTCTTTCCTTTCAAAATATTAATTACTTTAACAATTTGAACATATTTTATTTATTTAATCTAGTAGACCGTACGAGTATTGTGTCAACTGTGATTTTAATGTTATCAATGTAGCCTATTATTATTCTATAAATAAATGTATTATTCCTAGGAAATTCGTCTCACCTCAAGTAAATGTATCAATCTTGAAGCTGCACGTGAAATGGGTGCTGAAGAAATAGTTGAGAGAATTTTACAACTCACTCAATCTTTAACAAGATTACAACTGGATATTGTGGAATATGCATGTTTAAAAGTCATTGTCCTAATGCAACCAGGTGGGTTCTTTTTTTATTTTACTTTCAAAATAATGGAATGTAAATCAATCTTGTTTTTTTTCTTTTGGAACCTAATGATATAGTAGGCTCATTGAATGAAATCTTTTAGCAATTCACATTTGTATTCACTTCGAAAGGTTCTTAATTTGATCGAATTTCTATCGATAATTCTTCATTTTGTGTAGTTTCAACTTAATCAAAAGAAAGACATATTTTTCCTATTCAGTTGTTTTAGTTATCTCAACAATGTTAGATTGGAAGGTTGTCCAAGGTTAATCTTATGTGTTGAAATTGTGGAAGATATTATCTAGTATATATGATGTAATGTTATATGCAACGGCTGACATTTCAACTACTGTTTCTAATGTTGCATTTTCTAAACTGAGTAGAAGAGATCAATCAGTCGTTTATTTTGGGACGAATGGTACAAAATATTGAACAATAATGTAATGACATAAAGATTAGAAAAAACCTGCGAAGGCAATCATTCACAAATAAGGTTATTAAAACGCATTAATCTAATACTTGTAGGATGACTTCAGAAAGACTTAATTCAGCATGAAGTATACAATTTTCGGTATTTTCTAGCGCAACTGTGGAGGCTTTTTAATTTAACTATTCAGCTCAAAGAACGCGACATTATTAATATATATACTAATCAACTATTCAAGGCGGTCTGGAATGCTGCTGGAAGGTACGACGGCGATTTTCGCTTTTCAGATGCTCATATTGCAGAACCATGAATCTTGTAGGCCATGAAAAGGAAACTGCATTAGTAGTGGTCTTGAAGGTGTGGAGGCATGACCAAAAAAACCTAAGGGATAACTGTTTAGGGCCGGTCACATACGGCATTATTGCGAGTTTTTGATAATATTAACTCGTAGTTCAAAAGCCCTACTTCCAGATATAGAAATCTGTGGAGTTATGTGAGGTGTGACTTTTTTGTAGTCCATGTTTTCTATTCATTCTTTCCTTTGTGACAAAGTGACATCGCTGGAAGTGCTGGCTATCCGAGGAATAAACTATCATTAATTTCAAGTACTATCAACAGTATGACTTCGTTCTGAGGCCTTAAGTTGCTATTTATAGTCTTCCTGAATGGTAGGACTTTAAGGAATAAACGTTACAACTAATATTGCTCGATTGTTCGTCATGATAGGCAAGCACGATCACCACGTCAAGGTAGTATCCATGTTCAGGATTTGACTCGACAGTTTTATCTCGCTGTGCTGATATGGTGTACTAACGTAAACCAAAGCATGTGAATTCCAGTTTCCATATGATGGCTTGATAAACTATACTGATGTCAGCCTCTTCAGATAAAATTTATTGACGACTTTCGTGACACATCTCATTCTTAAAGGAAAAATATCGGACGAACATTTCTGAAGAAAGTATGAACTCTATTTAATAAGAAACTATAACTGATTACGATGTACACTGAGAATATTTAGCCTACTACAACAATGGGTAAGCAAATAACTTTTAGATTAACATTACAGCCAGTTTATAACCACTAAATTCCTGTAAAAACAATTATAGATTGATTATAATGCAGAATTATCTAACGGTTATGTTATAAACACACATAAATAGCGATTAGTGATTTTAGACAAGTGTAGTTTAATAATTTGGACTTTAATGATAGAAGTGTACATTATTTCTAAGTTAAGCGTTTCTGATATGCTAACTGGTTTACAACTAAACATATATTTTGACTATTTTGAAAAATCAGATTTGAATAATTTAAAAGCAAGTTCTCAAGTTCGATCCTATCAAGAATCTGTTCGACGATTACTAATGGATTATGTCACCAAGTCGTCTCCTGATATAAATGATAAGTTTAACAAATTGATCAATCGAATTCCTGAACTACGCAAAACAAGTCAGGCTGCTCGTTTGATGCTTGTTGATTTGGATCTATCTTCTTATTTATCAACTAATTCTCTTCTAATGGAACTTTTACGCAGTGATATTCAACGATATACACCAAATAATGGATCACACAATTCGACAGAATCTACAACAACAGTATCAATGCAAGGTTCTACCAATTCCGGTATAAAAACTGTCTCAGTCACTTTAGGGGCTGACACTGCAGAAAATCAAGAGGAGAATACTACAGTTACAATGGTCCCATCATCAGGCGTTACTGATTTATTATCATTGCCTAATCATACTACAATTACAACAGTAACAGAGAGTAGACTAGATGAAACGATCACCAGTAATAGTAATACTTCACTGACTACTTCTGAAGTTGATGTTATTTCTAAATAGTTCAACTTTTTTATGAATATCTGTTGTTATTATTATTATTATTATTGTAATGATTATTAGCTGCCCATGAATATTTGATTTATACATTGTACTCGTTTTCCCACTGTTTCACGCGCCACATTTGTATAAATGGCACCTACAATGTTATTTCTAATATCTTCGTTAGTATACATGCCAGCACAGATTTTACTGTAAATACTTTCCATTTTGGTAAATAACTAATTTTCCAAATATTACTCGCTGTTTTTCTTGTTTTCGGGAACTTTGTGAATAGTTGTGGTTTTCAAAACCATCTCTGTCAAAGTTGTTTAGGCGCTCTTTTACGCAGGCATATGTATGTGTTCTTAATACACAGATTTTCCTTCATTATTTCCCTCTAATCCCGGTTATCTGTTGTATTCTGTGCACCATTACATCTAACATGTGTACATATATAGATATATTACTGATGTTTATGTCAGTAGCTTAACTCTTTGTTCTTTTTTTAACCACACATTTCGCATATATAATTTTCTTTTCAATATATACATATTACCATTAATAACAATCAGCACATATAAGTATGTCGCACTTATCGCTAAATGTAACTATATTCACACTGTTAAATATTGTATTCAATTTACTATACGTTTAGGAACAACTTTATCAAGGAAGAAATGTTATTCGTTCTATTTTTCAGTTTTAATAGCAGATTAGTTTTTCTGCGTTTTCATCTTCCGTTTCTTTTTATGCATATATATATATATATATATATATATATATATATATATATATATATATATATATATATATAATTTGCTGATATTTTATCTAGAAAGATTATTTATCTATACTAATACGATTTGTTAATTGGTAAATGCACTTCTCATTATTATAACTTGTCATTCTGTTTGCTATATTCTCTCCCCTGCTGTTGTAGAGGCTCAAATAACGGACACCTCTATATGGTTATCATCTAATGTAGTGTTTGAATGGTATTCACAAAATCACTTAGTCTGTGACATTAACTTGCGAATGTTGAAAGTAATAATGAGTGTATGCATCCTGTCCTGCTGTTTTGCCTCGTTGGTGTAAAACGTAGTTTTTAATAATACAGATTTTTAGGTTACTAGAATTTGATCAATGATGTCTCACAACCGTTACTCGTATATGTTTGGACCGCCAAATGAGTAATCCTGAAATAAGACAAATGTTATTAGGTAAACATGGTCAATCAGACGACGAGCTAGTGGATTTCCACCAATTGAGACATTTATTTTGGATGCCCAATAATCGCTTGAGTGGATGCGCGACATTTGATATTGTAGAAGTAGGATAGACAAAAGCTAGGACCGTATAGACCATGATGCGGTATTAGTTCATGAAATGACTGATTGGTGGATTGAGCTACGTTATTAGGTTTAAATTACTTGGTTGGGATGGACGCAGTTGTTGAAACCAATGATTGCATACAATGTGTGACGTCTCAAAATCGGCTGCGATGACATGCATTTACATTTTGTCTTCCCTCAGAGTTCTGAAACTATCTTATACTTCATTTCTGTTCCACGAATTCGTTCTTGAATCATTTTATATGTCAAATCTTTTATTGTACTAGCATTGATACGGAATTTACTGCTACTGAGATTTGTACGAATAATTTCATCTTGTTGCGAAGATATGACGTAGTGATTTAAAAGTTGTGCATGACTGACTGGTTGACTTGTTTTGTTGTTGAGCTATTTACAGAATTGAGTGCTGAAGAGTTCCGACTTTCTACCCTTATCTGGACCAATTTTATGAACTTGCTAATAAGCGACTTAATATAAAGTCTTCACTTCCTTGTATCTGCTGATTATCTCTTATTATGAATAGAGACATCAACTGGAGATATTTTCATGTCAATATTTTCGCTTCTTTTTGGACACCGCTTTGTTAATCATACAAAATTGTAAACAACCTTCGAGTCTCACAGCTAGCGCAGTACTATTTCTAAGTAGGAATCCAGTTACGTTCTACAAAATCATTGAATTTTGCTTGAGATAGCTTTCTAAATTAGAAAAAGTGTATTTCTTAGGGCAATCGGTGACCATATTTTGTGTTCAGCCACCTGTCAAATTGTACCCTCCATATATTTCATGAATAAATCCTGCGTGAAAGATCTCAGTAGCATGCAACGTTCATGGAACATTTCTAATTTAGTAATGTGGTTAGTCATAATCCAACCTCATTTATTTCATAATATGGGGTGATCATTATTTAATTCTACTGTATTCTGACTCAGTACTTACCGAAGAATGACTTCATTGTGAGGTTAGTGTACATAATGGAGTTTCAAAGCTGGGGTAAGAATTATAGTCTTGTTATTTTCCATTTCTGTTGATGTCATTCCTAGATTGAAGCTATTTTCAAATTCGCTCTAGGTGTTACGTTATTGGCACTAAAATAATTAGTATTTCGTAAAATGATTAAGTGAAAAAACAGTCAGTGTATCTTATTTCAATTCATTTTGTAAATAAAATGAGTGATAATATCACTTTCCTAAATTTCAACATCATTTATCAGTTCTCAACTATTTCGGTTTCCTTTAGTACTCTTGTTCAGTATGAAATTAAGCAGTCACTTGAACTCTTCCTCGAATTCATTATATGATAGTTCTTGGTTTATACAAATTCAATCAGGTCAGTCATAAGTAGTGTAGAACCGGGAACATTTGTGGATCTGTTCAAGTTGGTCTACTT